GAGACTTACTGTCTACTCTTGTCACATTTTCCAAATGGGACCATGATTTCCACTTCTCAATTTAAATTATTTTTATTGCTTTAAATGACTTTAAATCTCATTTGAGTGTTACCAAAAAGTGTTACTTTTTAAAAAATTAAAAATAGTCTAAAAAAAACCTTAAAATGTCTAAAAATAGTAACTTTATGCCAAGAATGGGACTAAATGGGACCAAATGAGACCACTTTCTCATTTTTTTCAAGTCATGGTTCCATTTTAAGATCTGATATATAGTCACTTTACATGTTTTTTTAATAGCCAGTCCCAGCGGGATTCACGCCAAGAAATGTATGGGACCAGACCAAATGAAACTAAACATGAAATTCATGGTCCCGGCGGCCAGTCTAATCTCATTTGAAAAATGTGACAAGAGTAGACAGTAAGTCTCACTGAGACAGTATGAAACCACTATCTAATGTTAAAACTGTGTAATGAGATCAGTCGAATTGGTAATAAGACTATCAAAAAATCTGGTCCTGGTCTCAGACACAGTCACACGGTCAGTCTAATTATCAGTAAGAGCTGTCAGTGACAGACTACTTCTCTATAGAACTCTTTCACTCATTGCAGAGTGTTTCATTTCTCTTGCCCTGTGATCAGAATGATGACTTTTGAGAATTTGTCTGTGACTGTCAGTATTGTGTTACAGCTGTCACTTATCAGTAATTCAGTAATGAAATTGATTGACAGAATCTTGAATGATTCTTTCAGAGATGAGATGAGATGTGATTTCTCTCACTGAGAGTGATTTGATAGCTTAGATAGTTGATAATTGAGACAATGTAAGATGCAATCAAGAATTTGTTTATAAGCATAAGATAAGAAGAAGAATCAGTATATAATGTCTTCTGTTTAATGAAGACCAGAGTGTCTGGCAGCATTGTGACATAAGTGAATGAGATCTTCTGCTAAGGTCTGTGTAATACAGAGATGATCATTGACAAAGAACAGAAGACTGTCTTGAAGTGTGAATGAATGATATTTTCTCTCTCACATCACTTTATGATAGACCTTTTTCAAGGCTGAATCAGCTGGTAGGTTCTTACACAATTGATTCTTGATATTGTTTGAGAGAGTGATACCTATGTTAAATACAGCAGTAATGAACTCATTCTTGATTCTGTCAGCTTACTGAGTGAGTGCTTGATGTATCTTTTCTTGATTATCTTGAGAGATCTCTTCAGAATTGTCTGTGAGAGTGTATAATCAGAAGAGAGTATTAACATTTTGATGTAAAGTGTCTTTATAATAGCAGATTTGCATGCACAGAATATACATGCTAAGAATCAGAGCTCAATTTGTCAATTGATTACTCTGATAACCTGTGATGAGTGACTGAAGAACAGATATGAGTGTAATATGATTAATCACAACAATGAATTCACTGTTGAGGTATTGAGAAAGCTTTTTCAGAGCTCACATCAATCTCAAGCACTCTAATTCAGTCACTCAATACTGTCTCTCTGCTGAGTTCAATCATCACAATAGAAATAGAATGAGTCTCTCAATTCCATCAGTACTCATCTGATGCAGTGTGATTTCTATCTCACACTGTTTGCTAGAATTCATGTACACAATGAACAGTTGCTTGAAGTCAGGGTATGCTCTTGTGAGAGTGTTCATTAAGGTCTGTTTAACAGTATTAAAGAAAAGTTGAGCCTCTGTGAGTAGGGCTTGGAATTGCAGAAATGCTTCAAACTCAATCAATTTAATCCTTGCTGTATATGATGCTCTTTTCTGACCTGTTTAGAGGCTGTTGTGCAGCATTCTGACTTTGAGTGTCTTCAGTGCTTCTATCTTGTCTGCATAGAAATTCACAAAGTTGTGATAGTAGTTAAAGAGGCTGATGATTCTCTCCAGCTCTCTGAGAATTATAGAGAAGACCAGGTTTGTGATAGCAGCTATCTTCTTCTTCTAAGTGAATATTCTCAGTCAGTTAGCATGATAGCTCAGCAAACACACAGAGAGATAGATGAAATGACACTTGAATAAGAATATCATCACTCTGAATATCTTGAGAGCAGTGAATACTAGACTGGCCGCTGAGACCATGAATTTCACATTTGGTCTCATTTGGTCTGATCTCATACATTTCTTGGCGTGAATCCCGCTGGGACTAATCATTAAAAAAACATGCAAAGTGACTATATATCAGATCTCAAAATGAAATCATGACTTGAAAAAAATGAGAAAGTGGTCCCATTTGATCCCATTTAGTTCAATTCTTGGCATAAAGTGACTATTTTTAGACATTTTAAGGTTTTTTTTAGATTATTTTTAATTTTTTAAAAAGTAACACTTTTTGGTAACGCTCAAATGAGATTTAAAGTCATTTAAAGCAATAAAAATAATTTAAATTGAGAAGTGGAAATCATGATCTCATTTGGAAAATGTGACAAGAGTAGACAGTAAGTCCCACTGGAACAGTATGAGACTACTATCTAATGTTAAAACTGTGTAATGGGATCAGTCGAATTGGTAATAAGACTATCAAAAATTCTGGTCCTGGTCCCAGACACGGTCACACGGTCAGTCTAGTGAATACTGTCTGCATGTGATAAAGATAATTATTTAGCAAATGTGAGAAGATGATGATGTTGTTGATATAGACTAAGATGAATTATCACAAGAATTATATCAGTATCTCTTTCATACATTGCTGAAAGAATTCAGATGAGATTATCAATCTCATTGTAGTGACTGTAAAGTGTTTGAGCTCTCAGTGCAGTGTGACAAAGATGATTTTAAAGAGATCAGAATCTTCTATGAGCTGTTGAAAGAAGTCTTGATAAATATTCATTGATAAGAATACTATAAAACTGCTTAACAACTGCAGGACATTCTGCTGTGTTGATAAAGAGTATGCATTTAAAAGCAATTGTAGATTGATCTTCTGCAAGTTCACAATTACATGTGATTTCTCTTTATATCAGATCATGAATGCAGGGGAAGTGATAGAGTTCTTGATCTCAAGAGAAACTCTCTCAATTCTCTCATTTCAAACAAGCAGGTTCAAGATTTGATCAGCTACTTCTCAATCTCTCTGTGAGAGAGAGTATGATCACTGCTTCAGTCTGGAAAAATTGTCTTTGTTAATGAACTGTAGCAGTATCTTCACATTGTCTGAAAATAATCTCAGATTGAGATCAAAAAGTTTGTGATATCAGTCAATAATTTTCTGAATTGCTTCATAATCACTTACTGCTCAGTGATCTGATATCTGTGCTTTAACTCACTCAGTGAGGGCATCTGCTATGAAAATCTGAAGAGGATTGTTATGATCTTCTGTGTCTCTCAATAGATTGAACTGTAGACTGAATAATTTCACATGTGAGGTAGAAAACAGAGATGATTTCTCAATTGAATCATTATTGACAACATTGACATTCACAGAGCAGATGATGATCTTTTTCTGCTTTTATAATGAGTGAGAGTTTCTACCTGCATGAATAGTGCCTCTGATGACCTTGACATTTATAGCATATTTTTCATGAACTATAATACACTTATTGTGAACATTAACGATGACTCTTATCAGTGATAATATATCATTTACTATAATTATATTGCATCTGAGATATTGTATCAGATGAAATTCACTCTTCTGATTGAAAAGAGAATCATTATTCATCTTTAGAGTGAGAGCTGTTGCTATGAATAGATTCAATTCATTTGTATTTGAATCAACTTCTTGAATGCACACACATTGATCATGTGACAGAGCAGTCAACTGACATTGAGAGAAGAATAAGCTTGCTATCACTGTATCAATAAGTGATATACCTGTGTCTGTATCAATGCAAACTGAGAGATCACCTTGAAGAGTATTAATGAGAATGTGTAAGAATAAGTGCTCGCAGGCGATTATTCGGGTGTTTGCAGCTTGGCGTGATATGTACTGTTAACTACTAGAAGTGTTCGCAGTAGAAAGATAAATGTAGGGGTCAAATGTATCATAGCATTCAAGCTGAGTTGCAAATAGTATTCACAAATTCCAGTCTATATAGTTGTGTGTAGCCAAGGGCCGCTAGCTCTATTGATTACATGAGAGATAGGAATAGGGGTAAAGAATCTGTGAGGAGTGGGATTTCTTATATATTCTCTTCTCTCTAAGACTTTGTCTGTGAAGCCTTTCACTGAGTGACTTTATAGTCAGCTCAGCACTGCAGTGATACTCACTAAAAACTCTTCACATCTATAAAAAATCTCAGTGAGGAAAAATCCCTTATTACTATAAAGAGAAAAGAGTCTGTCACTCAGTTTCTTATTCTGTAAGGTTCTTTGTGATCTACAGATTCTTCTCTGACTATCATGCAGATTCATCTCACATCTTTCATATAGAAGGATTTCAGTTGACTCTCAATCATTTTCATAAGGTTCTTGTGTGATCATTACACAGATTCATCTCACAGATGAATCACTCTCTGTGAGATCACCCTCATCAAAGAGAAACATTCATAAGTTGATCTTTCATTCATTCTCACAAATCATTGCTCTTTGACACTGTAGAATTGTGAGGAATTTTTCATTCTTTCATTAACTCTGTAGAATTGTAGAATCAAGATGTTCACAGTCTGTAATCACTCTTTATAGTCATATAGAAAGATTCAGGCCTGCAATTCACAATCACTCTTGTTTACTAGAGTGATCTGACTGTTTCATAAGATCACTCACAGTGTAAGTAAATCTCTTTAGAGTAGTATAAATATCTCAGATCTGTCTGCAGAATCTCATCTTCTTTTTTCTTTTTCTGTAACAGCTTTCATCTCTATAAACTGTGAGTATTCTCATTCATCTGCAAAGTGTTTTCATTCAGATGACAGAGAGAGAGTGTTCCTGACAATATTCACATATTGATTTAAGAACTTCTCAAGAATAAAAATTTTTTCAATTTCAACATCTTTGTAAACAATGTCTGGCCACTACTGAGCTTCTTGTGAGTGTTCTCATGACTTCTCTGATCACTTTTTACCAGCTGGTGAAGCAGGGGTGCTGCTGTCCATGACTGTGCCTTTATCTCCCTCAGCCTCATCACTGCATCTGATCTTCAGGCCAGCAGCCCACCTCATTCCTTTCCCAGGCCAGCCCCTGGCTTCAAGTAGTGCAGTCTCTTTCTTTGCTGTAAGTCTTCTCACAAGTAATTCCTTACAGACTCTAGCTGATAGTTCTTGTGAAGCTCTCAGTGTTACCAGTGTCTCCTGCAGCCCCGCAGGCCTACAATCATTCCTTCCCTGCCTGCACAATCTCTGACCAGGCATATGCAAATATGTCTAGGTTTTCTATCAATGATCCTCACACCGCGGTGTATTTCCACAATCTCATTGCCAATGAAAGATGAGTCCTCAGGTACCTGCAAAATCCAGATAATCAAGGCAATGTGAATGTCATGAATTCATGATGAGAGTTAATCTGAGCAGATGAGCTCTCTCTCTGCATTCTCATTATTTTCAGGCTGAATACTTCAGCACAACTGAGAGAGTGAACACAGCTTTATAAGAGATATCTGATCACATGTGCAGATGATCAGTCTTCAAGACTCTGTCACAACTGTATATACTCTGATGTTCAGCTTCTCTGAAGTCTGTGCATTTCTAGCAGTCTTCACATTAAATGCAATAATTATCTGTATCACAGGTATAATGCTCTCTGCTTCTTTGAAGAGAGAAATTAGTAGTTGTGAGAGAGTTAAGTGTTACAGATGTTAATAATGTGAGTGTGAGTTTTCTTTGTTTTTTCTTTATTAATCTCTAAATTATATTCACAGCTCTGTTTATTTTCTTATTTTTTAGCTTTAATAAGAACATGTTTTCTTCTTTCCTTGTATACACTGCAGACTGTTCATTCCAGTAGAAACTCATTATCTTATAGACTAGAGTTCACAAATGACAGTGTTAATATCTTTGTTATAATCAGGTTCTTAGTGAAGATCACATCATTCTGACTTATCAGAATTTATAGCATGAAAGTCATGTCTCAGCTTCTGCAGATATCTTATCTATCTGAATAATTCTTAAGTAAACTTATTCATCTTGTCAGAATACTCTTATCACTGAATCTTAAATCAGAGCTCATGACCTCACTTCTCTGAGTCAATAATTCCTTTGACCTGATATTCTCTTTCACTCTCTAGTACTTCATGAACAGAGTGATGAGTCACAGAGTTCTCTTCTGAGAATTCCTTGTATTTATGAAGCAAAGAGACATGAAAAACATTGTACATCTGTAACTCAGATAACAGTTTCAATCTGTAGAACTATGAGCTAACTTTCTTCACAATCTTATAAGACTCTGTCTGTAAGAGATTCAGCTTCTTACTAAGTCTCTACATGATAATATTTTCTAGACTCAGTCAGACTCTATCATCTTTCTTGAAACTCTTTGTAATATGCTTGAAGTCATAGTATCTCTTCTAATACTCTTGAGCCTTTCTCAAGAATTCACAGACTTTCTCCTGAATCTCCTGAATTCTCTCAGCCTGTTCACAGGCATTATCACACTCTATAGTGTACTCTTGCAGGTTCATCAAGATTATTCACAGATGAGTCTCAGTGAGCATCTCAAAGAGAGTTTTGTCTGTACTGACATGTTTTGAGTTATTATATATGAACTCTGTGAGTGATAATCAATACACTCAGTCATTCTGATTGTAATTGACAAAGCATCACAGATACTGTTTCAATATACTTATCAGGCATTCTGTCTGATCATCTGTCTGTTGATGAAAAGTCATGCTTAGATCTTATAAGATCTTCAGTATAGTTATCAGATCAGATCAGAACTCTTCTGCAAAGATTAATTCTCTATCTGAGACAATATTCACAGACAATTCATGCAACTGAATCACATTGCAGATAAAGATATGAGTCAAATTCTTTGACTTCAAGTCCTTGCAGATGAATATAAAGTGTGTTATCTTGATAAAGCAATTCACTATCATCAGCACACTGTCAAAGCAGGCATTATATATGTTCTTACTTTCAGAGAGACTCACAAGAACATTCATTCCTAGCTGTTCTCAAGGTTTTCACAGGATGAATAGAGGAGTGAGTTCTTCATATAACCTGAATCACACTACTCATGAACCCTGATAAACAGCACAAGAATTCACTATCTTCTTCACAAGTTCTCACATCTTCAGTCAGAAGTATTTTCTTGTAAGCAACTTATAAGTTCTAGTGTCTATAAAATGACCTGTTAGAGAAGAGTCATGATATCTTTTAATGAGTTCTACATATAGAAACTCATTCACAGGCATATAAATTCAGCCCTCTCTTCACAAGAGATTATTTAAGTCTCTTCAATTCTTTGTTTCTGCAGAATTGATCCCTGCTGTAAGCAGTTTCTGAATATACTGAGTATATTCATTCTTCAGTTGCAGTTCAGACAATCTGAATAGAAGATCTTATAAAGACTTATACTCTGTTTTCTCTTGCATCAGGTCTTCTGCAGTGCTTCTCAAAGCCTGCAAACTCTTCAGATTATAGATACTCTCTTCAAGAATTCTTACAGAGATTCTCAGAGTGTTGACTCTCAGTGTTGTAGAGAGTAGTTATACAGACTTCTTTTCTCTCTTCTTTCTCTTCTCTTATAAGGGATTGAGAGACTCTTCAGTCAATCTCTTCACAATACTCAGTCTGAGTATCTCACAAAGCTTTTCTGCCTTCTCTAGTCTCTCTGTATCTGTCACTCTGACCTTCTTAATATAGTCTGGCCTGTGAGAGAGTCTGTCTGCTGAGTTCTTAGTTCTCTTGATATGTTCTATCTTGAACCAGAACTCACTCAGTCTCTGAGCTCAGTGAACCTGCTGCTGTGAGAGTTTCTTGATTGAAGCAAACTATTACAAGCTGTCATGATCAGTTCTAATAGTAATCACTGTTATAAGGCTCTTGAAGTAGTGATATCAGTGATAGAAGAATTCCACTATCACAAGAAGCTTCTGATCATGAATGTCATAGTTGATCTCCGCAGGTTGCATCTTCTGTGAGAAAAAGATCACTGAAACCCAGTTCTCATTTGACTGTAGTTATGAGACTATTTCTGAAATTGCAAAGAAGAAGACATCTGTCTTCAATCTGATTAAGAGTAAGAGATCAAAATGAAACAGTATCACTGTATTCATAAATATCTATTTTAATCTTGCAAAGACTCTGTGAGCTTCTGAGATAAGAAAGTTCTCACAGTTCTCTCTTCTCAACAACCTTTTCATTCTCTGTTTATAGAATGACTTCTTCTTATTTTCACTCTTCAGCATGTCTGTAAGAGTCAAGAAGATTCTTGTGAATACAAAGATAAACTGTCTATAGAAATTCACAAAGCTCAGAAAGATCTGAATCTCATGAATACTAGTTGACTTCAGTCATGATAGAATAGTCTCAATCTGCAAAGATTTCATCTGAATATCATCTGTGATGATTACATATTCTAGAAAATTAATTCAGCAGACACTGAAGTTGCACTTCACAAGCTTAACATACAGTTCTGCCTCATCTAAGGCCTTCAACACACTTCACACATGCTCAGTGTGTTCTTCCTTCTTCATGAAGTACATCATCACATCATTCAGATATATTACTATGAAGACATTCAGATATGCATGAAGTGTTTTATTGATGAAAGACTGAAATACTGCAGAGACATTAGTCAGATCAAAAGACATTACTAGATATTTAAACAATCTCAGTGCAGTTCTAAAGACAGTCTTTCATTCATTCTCAGACTGTATTCACAGCTGTGTATATACATTGATCATATTCAGTTGTATGAATATGACAGCTCCTGCAAGACAGTTGATCACATTCTCAATCAGAGACAGAGAATAGTGACTCTTTATTATCTTAGAGTTCAGATTATGATAGTCTACACACAATCTGAGATCTTCATCCTTCTTCTTCACAAACATCACAGAGGCTCTCATGAAGGCCTGTAAAGATCAGATGAAGTCATTCTTCAGATTCTTCTTCACATAGGTTCACAAGACCTCTGTCTCATGATGAGAGAGCTTATAGATTGATTCTCAGAAGGGTTTCTACTCTTCTATTAAATCTATTACTAGATTCTTCTCACAGTGAGGAGAAAGCTCAGCTATCTTAGCTGGGCTGAACATCTCTGCAAGATCTCAGTATTTCTCTGATATCTGAAGCTCAGTTTCCATGACTGTAAGGTTCTCAGACACTCACAAAGTTATCATATAGATGAGCTTGTCTTCTCTAATCAACTCTGCAGCATCAACTGCTTCTATCTCTGTAAGTGAGTCTGTCAACACTGATCAGAAGTATAAACCTGACTCACAGACAGCTATGTGTGAATTGTGTCTTTAAAGTCATGCAAGTCTCAAATACATGTCATCTGTGATGTCTGTGATAATCACAGTTTTCACAAATCTTCTTCAGATTTCAGAGAGATCTTGCAATTCAAAGATGATTCTTATAAGTCTCTCAGCTCTCAGGTCTGAGTTCTCACACTCTGCTTATTATAAGAGCAGGTTCTCAGTCTTCATCTTTCAGCTCATTCACTCTGTGAGCTTTAGAGATATCACAGTGATCTGGGATTCTGAGTTCATCAATACTTTCCATGCTTGCAGGGCAGCAGTACTGCAACACAGTCTCTCTCTGTGAGCAAGCATTTTCATTGAAGAAGTAACAGATTCAGGTGTCAGCTTCAAGACTCTTAAGAAGGCTGTTGCTGACTCTGTTCATGACTCTTCAAATTTCTATTTTGATTTGTCTGAACAGTTTACACAGAGATGTTCTGATTTAGAACAGATGAAGCAGAGTCTCTTTTTCTTGATCTCTCTGTTGTGCACTCTGTTCACAGAAGCTTGTAAAACTCTCTCTCTCTGCTCAGCAGTCAGACACAAATCTCTCTGTATCTTGTCATCTTTTTCTGATAAACCTGTTCTCTATTATCCTGGCCCTCATGAGGCTGGTCAATGATTCACTCTTCACAGGTCTGTGACTCTCACAGTGATCTGTAAGTGATGAATGAGAGTCATTAGTTTCTTCAGAGTCAAGAACTTAGAGCCTTGCTCAATGAGCTTGTCCTGCATATCTTTATTCAGTCTCTTCACAAATATCATTATTCAGATCTTGTTTCAGGGCCCTGTTTTCACAGATCTCAATTCATGCCATAATTTCATGAAGCACTGTGAGTAGTCTTCATCAGATTTCTCACCTCTTTTTCTAATATTGATGATCACAGCCCAGGTGTTCTCTGTCCAGCTCACAGAGTCTCTCAACTTATTCTCTAGATAGATCTTGAG